CCTCTGGGGGCTCTTATCTCCCAAATGAATAACAATCTCAAACACAGGTTTGCCCTATTGCTAAAAATGGGTCATGGGGAATAAATGAATGTAAGAAAAAGGAGCAGCAATGGTGGATCATTATTCTATAAAGCAGTGGAAAGGAGGCTTAGATCAAACAAAATTTCTGGTACAACACTTAAATTGGGCAGCTACAGAAGATAGTTTGAATATGATTTATCAATCCCACCATGCTATCTAAATGAATATGATATTCATTCAAAGCACAGAGAAACTTAATATTTCTCCACAGTCTCCTAAAGTGTCTAAGATGTGCCTTGTCTTCTTTGCCCTTTGATACACTCTACACGTGTGTTCAAGTATGTGCATGAGTAAAAGAAGACTGGACTAACAGTATGCCAAAGATACAAAGCCAAATATCCTAGCAATTCGAAACTGTATTTCTAAAGTTGTTGGTACAACTTAATTCTAATTTTTGTCACTGATGTTGATTTATTTGTCACAGAATCACTTTCATTGTGCAAGGTGGATGGAAACAGATGAAAGAATGGAGAATGAAAGAAACTATTGGTTGAAGAACAACTCCAGTAGACGTAGTGGACACGGCTTCTTCCAGAGAAGCCTCAAACGCCTGATAAAATCATGATTCAAGATTATAAAATACCATGATTTCTATTACATATCCAGTGTTCCAGGCATATCTTACATATCATAAATAAAAACAGATATTACATATACCAGCTTCTCAGAGGGCAGACCTGGATTTCATGGATAGATAGTCTAAAACTCAAACATACGTATTTTCTCCAAAACATCAGTTTTTCCCATCAGGAAGGAAATAATATTGTGTGGAAATAATTTTCAAATGTATTGTGAGTTATGAATATAGCTCCAAGACCATGACATAAGCAAAAATTCAAGGTATCCTATTATGCAGCATCTTGAGTGAGAAACTTATGAACATTCTAGCTTTCCAAGTAAAGTAGTGTAAAAAGGGAAAGTTGGGGACATCTAAATATCAAAAGATATAGATTACTACCAGCACCAGCCAACAGGGTCTGACTGTACACAGCATCCTGGGGTTTTCATTTATCTAGAGCTTTTTATTTGTCCATTTTCCATTGAGAAAGCTGTCTGTTTAAGTCGAAAATTCAGCCAATTGCCTATAGTAAGTAATTGATTAAGCACTTGAGGAGTCTGTCAGAACATGTTGTAAGAAAACACTTGAAATTTTTTCTATATTATTTGTATATTTAGATCAATGTTTCATTGATTTTAAAAGTATTTTGATGAATCCTTCTGAAGTTCATAGTGTTTTCTTGGTTGCCAAGACATTCTGTGAAGGAAATCTGTCAAATACGGTACATTCTCTCTCTAAGTAAGGCAAAGAAGGGTTATCTGCTGGTGACTGGGGAGATACAGGATTGTTTTTCTTTCCAGCCAGACACATTCTGAGTTTGCTTCCTTATTTCTTCCTTAATAAATAATTAAATAAATTCTGAATGTATTTAGTTGATAAATGTCTCTCTGTAGAGAGACAGATATAGACAGCTGGATGTACATAGATCCCTCTATGTAAAAGACACTACCAACCGAACTCTCCTCTGGCAGACAATAACATGAGCAAAGATGTGTCAGAACTGATTCCCCCAAACCTTAGAGTCTTAGTTAGGCAGCTGATACATTCTGATCATTTCCTAGTCCATCTTCCACGGCTGTATGTAATATGATGGGTGTTCTCTTCTGTTAGAAGAACAGAACAAGGCTGTTAGAGGCTACTGCAATTCAGCAAAATAAAGACAGTTGTTCTTCTATTCCTTTGACTTGCATATAATTTTATACCACTTTTCTCACTGGTATTCCTAACAATGCAGTAAGTAACATGAGTATGCATATTTTTTTCTATCTTTTCATTATCTCCCAAAGGAGGAGTTTAGAAAATACTTAGGTTGCTTTGCTGTTTCTTATAGCAGATACTGACGGGTTTGTCATCCCTAGTTCTTAAGGAAAGAGTTTTTTCTATTTGTTACTTCCTTATTTATTTCCCTCCCCAGAATTTGACAGCAGAATTTACATATTGCAAGGTGATCCATTGCACTAGAGGATCAAATCTCTTATAGAATGGTTCCCATTCACAACTTCAAAGTAGTCTTAAAATACACATAGAACCAACCAAAAGTGAGAACTTAAACTTCCCTTTAACTTGAGCTGAAGGGAAGCCACAGATAGACTGCAGCACTGGTAACTGTGCAAAGTCTTTTAAATGTTGGAGGCTCTATGTCCAGTTATATTAGATTATTATGGTCAAGATGAAAAGTAAATAAAGATATGAACAGCCAATAACAGGTACCACAGATGAAGAGACACAGGAGTTACCTAGCAACTGGAGAGAAAGTTTTGCTTGTGCTAGGCTGGAACTTCTCTAGAGCACTCAGAGATTATGGGGCAAACTGACAAGCTGATGAATTGCTGATAAGTACCTGCAAACGAAAATCTGAAAAAGGCCAAGAAGTCGTAAAATTTCCTGAATATTTTCTTCTCTCTAGTAGCATCAGTGCCATCTTACTTGAGTTTTTAGTATTTATTACTTGCTGGTGGCTTTTAAGCAAGAGACTGTTTTGGAGGTTAGGAACATTGCTACAGTGAAGGACAAGTAGTTAGATGCATCAACTGCATATTATTCCATACCTTTGAACAGTCCATTCAACATCAGCATACTTATCTAGGGGCTATTGAAGAGAACAGATAATTATAACACTCCTAGACTGGTCAAATTAGTATCCAGCCTTGGCAAATTGAGGGGATAGGCTGGTTCACATGCACACCTGCAGTACATTGTAAGCCACTGCTTTTGATTTCCTTTTTTTCTCCAGGAGAAATAGGCCTGGAAGGGATGTAGATAATTGCATCTTGCCAGTCTTATCTTGTAACCTCATCACATAATCCTGTTATCTAGTTCCCTCTGAAAATGGTTTCTCGCTTCAACTACTTTTATGAGATGGCTGCTCAGGCATTGCACTGGTGGTTGGGAACACTTTAATATGCAACTTAATTTGCTCATGGCAAGTTTATACAATTTTGTTGTTGTGACAATATCAGTTTATACAGACATTTCACCTCTTTATATCTACTATAACCCTGTGTTTAACAATCAGTGCCTTTATCTTTGTCTTCAATCTGAACACATACCTTCTTTTGAGAGGCCAACTGTTCACTGCTGCTGCTCAGTCATTGCTCAGTCATTTTTCCTCTCCTTCAAAAGCTCCTTGTATCTCAGCCCCTGAGACATTTCCTTGGCTCATTGGCACAGTCCTTCTCAATTTTTTCAGTGTACTTCTCACATCCTGTACCTCCATCCCTCAGAAAAGGAGTCACTGCCTTCTGGTGACTGCCATTGCCCTACCATTCTCCTCCAAGTCATGCAATAAGGTATAGGTTCAGAAGGAGCAGGAGTAAGTGAGTAGGATTACGTAAGTGAGCAGGATTAGACTCTAATTGGTTTTGTTTAGTAGGACCCCACAGAAGACACATCCTTTTGGCAGTCTACCACATAACAAAATTCTGTAGGGAGAGAAATTTTGGTGAAATTTTATCATTCATGCTGTGAATTTAACATTTTGAATACAAATGCCCAGAGAAAACCATTCCATTTAAGTCTTAGTCAAGCACCATAGAACATACTGAGTTTTTCTAACACTGAAGTAAATCCGCTAATTTCCCAAAAGCCAGCAGACCTACATCGTTTCATTGCTGTTGCTAAAAAATGGTGTAACTGCAGATAAACAAATCTTTGGATGTTAGAGCAGATTCAGGATTTCTATTACAATATTCTGTGATTTGTGACAAGAATAGATGTAATATTCTAGATAAGCTTTCCCCTACTGATATGATCATATTGATATAAAGATACTGATGATAAACCTGGAACTAAAATTTGCTGTGCCCAAAGACCTCACACTGAGGCACCACAGGTTCAGAACCAGAATATGGATCCACTGTAGACAACCAACACCCAGGACTCCTCCCCCGCCACAAATAGTAGAAGGAGACCTTTTCATCAATGGAATATTTGCAATTATCTAAACCTTGTCTTTTTTTACACCAGCAGGTGTCCCTGGCTCCAGTATTTTCTGGTGCCGTAGAAACTAATGATCTGCATAGAAGAAGTGGGGCAATCTGCTAACCAGAGCAGCCCCTCAAGGCATCTGCCACCTGCTGCCTCCTCCAAGGAGCTCTTCTGATTAATTTACTAATGTATTCACCTCCTGCATATGCATAAAGACTGAAGCTAATGGCACTACTTTCCACAGGCATGAGAGGCAGAATTTGGTGCAGAACTACACAATAGTCTTATTGTGGGCGTCATATTAGCACATACTGACTGCCTTGTCTAAACTGATTAGCTGGATTTGCACTAGTCTGGAGTAAGTATTTTTTAACCTCACTGACCTAAAAGTCACTCATGCTATGGTAATAGGTCTGCTAGGCTTGCTGCTACTGCTGTGTGGCTTTCTCATAGTTCTTTCCTTGAAAACATAGATATTCCGTATAATCAGGTCTGCATTGTGGATATAAAATTACCTGCTTACTATTCGTACTTATTTATTAAACAAATTAGTCCATCTCTGCATGCTTAGCACAGTAGAAAAATTATAAATTATAATAGCTAATGCATGTTGGACAACTATTAGTTAGACTGTATTTTTTGAGAAACATGAAGGAAAAGTTTTACTCCTTGTAATTTTTTTCCAGACTATAATGGCCTATTTATAGGCCAGTGCTGTAAGCAAAGTATAAATGGGAAGATATGCTGTCAGAATATTTCTCTGTCTAAATAACATTATTGGGAGCCAGAGGAGTAATAACGTAGGAAATCAATTGGGAAATTTTGTAAAAAGTGATTCTCATAAAAATTCTCCAGAAAATGTATGAGCCTACTGTATTCCTCTCTTTTACAAGCATTCAGCCTCAACAGTTATCACATTTTCAGCAGAGGGACTTTGGGCAATTCACTTGGAGAGAAAACAGTCATTTAAATAAATAAAGTAAAATAAATCTTTACCAACTCACTGTGCTCAGAGACAGAGGTAGCTCTTCCTCTCCCATGGTGCCAGACATTTCTTCCTCATGCCATTAAGAAATGAAAAGTTAAAGTATAAAAAAGAAAGAAACTAAACTGAGAACTACTGGAACCAAAGTCAAACCTGATGAAAACAAAATATTATTCTGTTGGATATGGCATAGCAACACACATTCACTTTGTTCTTTAAATAAACAAAGGAAAATACAGAAGTATAATTGGTAGTGTTCAACACTCTCTGTAGTCATGATCTTTTGGACATACAGGAATACTTCTTTCCTTGTCACTCTCACAGTTGACATTAACTGAAGAACAGTTTTTTTCTCTAACTTTATCACTTTGTTTGGCATAATAACAAATGTTATTAAACTAAAATTAAAGCTGTCCACCACCCAAGTGAAAAATAAAAAAAGAAAAGGAAAAAGGTTTTCTTAATGGGAATAGCAGCTAGGCATAGAAGAGTGAGAACAACAACAATAAATGTTGCCCAACTACAAAGCAAGGTATGCTGACAGGAACGAAAGAGAGAAAAGGAAGAAGTGGAGAAAACAGATATATATGAAGATGTAAAGTCAAGTCAGTTCACTCTGATGATAGCTGATACCAGATTACAGCAGCTTTGCCAGCATCCAGCCTGTATTGATTTTGCTCCAGATAGAATATGTTTTATATGGCACAACTTGTGTCAGATCTTCCCTTCCCATGACAGAAAATGGCTTCTCAACAAAGCTATTGGCATAGAAATTAGATTTTTGAATAAACATTGAAGGTTTTTTCATGCAGCTGTTTTCGATATTGAAGGCCTAATTGTCAAAAAGAAATAAACCAAAACTTGGATTTTTTACTTGGACTTTTTTTTTATTTTGCATTAAATCTTCCTTTTGCTCTGGGGATTAAAAAGGGGGAAGGAGCAATTTTGAAACTTACTTTTAATTCATAAGTGTAAGAGAATAAACAAGTCAAACAAATATATGGACATGTTCCACCATACACTGCAGTACACAAACATGTTGCCAACTCTTTCACAATATTTAATATTTTTATATTTTTCTTATGAAACTCAACATGAATATGAGGCAACATATGAGAATCTCACCTTTCATTTTCATATATTGCCATATGTTTTAAACCTTAATCCTACCACAAAAAGATAAAAACATGCGAAGCAACACACATATGGGCTTCATACCTTTCACATTATTTTCTTTTTTTTTAATCTTACCGTTCTTTAAAACTCACCTCATAACTACAGGATCTAGGCTTCTGGTTTGATGTGTTTTGCTGGTGGACAATATCGAAATGATGATGTTTCAGATAGAAAATTTCTCAATAATTTTTTTCTACAGGTCACAATATAAGCCATTATAGGAACTGAAGAGTGGTAGATGTTGTATTTTTTTTCACATAGGGAAATTTTCATCAAAGATTACGAAAGTGATAATTTAGGCCATCTTGGTCATCTTTTTAACATGACCATGAGGAACATAAAAGAATGGGAACAGTGAAAACCACATAGAGATCTGAGGACAAAGCCGAGTGGTTCAGCCAAAGTGAAAAATATGAAGGAGGAAAAGTCCCCTTTGTATTTTCCTCCTTCTCCTAATGACCATCCTGGGGTGCTACTTACACGAGCCATGGCTCTCAGGTGGAGCAGCAGTGTTAGGATGCTGCAGCTGTGCACACCAAGGATGGCTGCTTTGGCTCATCTCCTCTCTGTTTCTTTGCTGTTCTACAGACACCAGATGTGTTTCTGTCTCCACGGGAGGAGGGTAATCACCGGCAGCTGTTTCAAGCACAAGGAGACAGAGATTTGTTTATTGGTGCTAGTCCATAGGCAATACGATAACTTGCTGGATGTATTATTCTTTTCTGCAGAAACAGAGTTGCCAGAGTAGAGAGTAAACTTAACATTTCCATAATGAGCAACAGAGTTTCTAAAGCAGAAGCCTACATGCTGGGTGTCACACACTCTCAAGGAGAAAATTCTTTCTTTCAGGCTGTGTCAAGAATAACATGTCTCAGTTAATCGAGTCCCCTCTTGATATTCATATGAAACAAAAGGAAATAGATCTCAGAAGCAAAATTCAGTGAGTTTGAGCCCTGAAGTTCAGGCAAGAACACAGGTGAGAGGCTGCAGTTTAACTAAAATATTTTTACCAGTCTTCCTTTCCATAATTCACCTTCATAATGGTTGGACTCAATGATCTGGGAGGTCTTTTCTGACCTTAATAATTCTATAATTCAGTACATTTCAGAGATGCTTTCACGTGGTTCTCTGACCTACTGGTATTCATGAGCTAAATTTTTAGATCTTAGCTAAGTGGAGAGGCTTGGTTTCTACAAATTTGTTTCAGGAACATACTGAGTCTTCCTAACGTTTATTTTCAAGACTCCATGATATTTTCAGATATTCCTAGTCAAAAGAAACACAGAACACAGGGACTTATGTAGAAATACAACTGGCTCCATCAGAACCCCTCAGTTCAGTGAAGGAGCCGGTGAGGTTTTTCTTTTCTATCACTTAGACTCTTTTGAAGAACATATTCAAAATGTGAATTTTGAACCCTATTTCCAAATATCTCATTGAGAGAAAAAGACTTTTACTAGGGTGTGTCATGGTTTGAGAGCCCCAAAAATCCAATTTCCTAGTCCAAACCCCCTCCCACATCGCAACCTGGTGTGATATGGGTTTTCCAGACACCACACAAGACTCAAAATGGGGGAAAGGGATATATATTACACTGACTGTACAAAATAAATACTACAATACATTATATACAATCTTAACTATTTCTACCATGACATAAAAGTATTTACAATGGATCAAATCTCTTCTCCCCTCCAAATAAAAGTCCAGGAGGGAAGAAGGAAAGATCCTTTCCACTTTCAGAGCAGCATTCTCTTCAGAATAGCAGTCTATCTCTCTCTCTTCCATGCAGCAGCTGTAGCTGGATCTCTGCCAGTACACACAAGGGGGTATCCAAGCCCCTTGGCCCATCATCTCCAAGCGCGGGTCTTCTCTTCCGTAGGCTGTGTTCACCGGGACAAGGGTCATATCATGAAGTACAGGGGTCTTCCTGATGGTCCCTATCTTCAGGGGATTCAAGTTCCCCTACAGAGCTTCTGTGCTCCTTCGTAAGGAACCGGGGGGGCCAAGGTTCACCCCCTCTGCATTCCTTCTCAGAGCTTTTCAGCTCCTTTCTGCAGTGCTGTAGCACTTCAAGACTCTTTCAAATAAGAGTTCATCATCCTCCTCCTTTCTAGGAGGGGTCAGAGGGGTTTGGGGGTTTTTGGTTTCAGTTCTTACCCAAACTTTGTCTCTGTAGAGCTTAGCTCCCTCTTTGCTGCTGGCTCTCGTCTCTCGGACAACTCTGTGTCTCTCTTGCTTGGCTGTATGCTTGTTGCTGCTTCTCTCTTCTGGCTCTTTGCCACCGTTTCTTCAGTTGGTGTTGTTTTCACCGCCGCTTCTGCTGCTCACGGTGGAGGAAAAAAAAACTTCCAGCCTCTCAGTCACAGACCTCAGTCCAGTTTAACACTGTTTCCGAGTTTCTGTGACCCCAGCCAGGGCTGGGGGGGCCAGAGCCCCCCAGGGGGCTCCTACCCCTTCTCCTCGTGGCTCTACAACATGGCTACTTCTTCTACTACAACTACAACTACAACTACCTTCTCTTCCGGTCTGCTTGTGATATGTTTATATTTTGCAAAAGTGCTCATTGGGTAAAACCTCAAGGGTCACCACCCCCTGGGGTTTTACCATTTTATAACTTCAGAGGGAAAACTGTTTCCCCCCACCACAGGGTGATGTTGGAAATATCTCTTAGAAATCATCACCACCTCTTCCACTTGGATTAACAGTCCTAAACAGACAGAAGATAAAGTATAAGAACACATAATAATAATAATTATTATTATTATTATTATTAAAAATTATTATTATTGTTGTTATTTTGGAGGAAACAACTGAAGAGTAAGATAGGAGAAACTTTGAAATAAGATGAGAAATAAGGTCCTCTTTTATCGTTTGGCCAAAAGCAAGTCTTTAAAGTCAGTTCATAATTGCACTGGCAACCAGTGGAAAATCTTGCATATGTCAATACCAATGAGCGATTGTCAATATCTCTGATCAGCAACATTTTGCATCATTTGTAACTTGTATACTGAGTCTAAAGGGAGACTTCTAAATAAATCATTACAGCACATTGTAAATGCAGGAACCAGTTTCTCTTAAAATGCTTTAGTAACACTTCATTAATTATATTGAACCTGTAGACTGAAATTCTTCTCGCCTATATTCATCACCTACCACGACCAGTAGTCTATATATTGTCTAAGACACTACTATATCAAGCCAAGCAGCCAAACTATGCCCCATAGATCTTAGTAGAGGGATAGAAACAGTTCTCGCTGGTGTCAGCAGTTCAGACACAGCTGAGTGTGGCATCTGACAGAAAGAGAAACTAAGCAAGGCATGTTAGCAAATACTTTGGCAGTTAAAGGCACCCACTTTGTCTTTGCAGGCATTTCCCACAGGCTGACTTAAAATCTCCTGTATTTGCTCTTCACAGTTATTCATCAAGCAGTTCTCTGTCTGCACATAGTGTCACTAGACTTTTTGTGAGCTGAGTCCTTTGTTTGGATGGTGAGGGTAGATCACACGCTCCCTACCTTTGTTTTCTTTGAGGAGAATTAAGTTACTGGTCTTCAGATACTCAGGGTTACAGTATCCTGTTTGCTTCTGCTGAAGATGCTTGGAAAGCACTTAAAAAATGAGCAGATCAACAGATTTTACTGTGGAGGAAAAGAGCCTCCAAAGAATCACTGAAAGAAGCTCTTTGTTTATAGAGAATTATTTTGACAAACATTTGCACAGAAGTTAGACCTCCTTTATGGTTTCTGCATCCACTTCAGTTTCTTTTCTGCAGACAGCCAAGCAAAGTGATCTGTTAGAGTAAAGGCATTGCAAAAGGAAGGCAGCAGGACACTGTCGCGGTTTTCTACCAGAATCTGTCATGACTTTCAGCAGCAATTTTGTGCTGGCCATTAGAGATGATGTTTCCTAACTGGATCCAGTCTCATCTTCCCCTTCCTCTATGCTTGTGTATTCCTCCATGGTAAGCCATTTGGCTCCTTGCAGATCCCATGCTTAACATGAATGCTCCACACACTGACATGATGGGGAACCATCAGGGGACCTTACCTGGATTTTTTTCTCTGTGTCCCATGACGACATTACATCTCCTCAGACCCGGACTCATTGCATCTCAAACTGGGCAGTAGGAAAAGATTCCAGACTGAAAACACAGGAAATCATAAAATCATAGAATCATTTAGGCTGGAAAGGACCTTTAAGATAATTGAGTCTAACTATTAACCCAGCATTGCCAAGGCTACCACTAAAACATAGAATCATAGAATGGATTGGATTGGAAGGGACCTTAAAGATCATCTCATTCTACTCACCCCGCCAAGGACATGGGCACCTTCCACTAGACCAGGTTGCTTAAAGCGTGATACAAACTGGCCTTGAACACTTCCAGGGATGGAGCAGTCACAGCTTCTCTGGGATACCTGTGGCAGTGCCTTACCACCCTCACAATAAAGAATTTCTTCCTAATATGTAGTCTAAGCCTGCTCTCTTTCCATTTGAAGCCATTCCCTAAGGACTATATCTATACATCATTTAAATACCTCCAGGTATGGTAACTCCACTACTGTCCTGGACAGCCTGTTCCAATACTTGACACCCCTTTCCTAATATCCAATCTAAACATAAAATCTAAATGCAGGGCTACTCTAACCAGATGCAGTGTTTCAGCCACAAGAAACAGCTTCGAGGATCACAGTCTAATTATCTGAAATAGAATGACAGAACACGTTATCATTTTTATTACACCCACATTATATATTATTCTTCATACAGTAGTATGAGTAGAGCTTTCAAACCACTTTTCTTTTAATCTCCAGTCTTCTCTCTTCATCATCACATTGGCCTGTGCTTTCCTAATACCTGCACCAACATTAGTCACAACTGGCAGGAACCCATAGAGACCTTTAGAGAACATTATTTTTTGTCCTCTGTGCATACATTAGTGTTGTCCTTTAAAAATAAAGCCCTTTGTCCTTTTAATGAAGAATAAAACTCATTTCCAAGCATCCAAATAAGATTATCTCAAATAATAGAAATCCAATTAGCTCAGGCAGTTTGAAGTCTCACTTAGGCTCCCGGGTGGTATCTCCCATCATTAAATATACTGCTTTAAAATACTTTCAAATACCTGTGTAGCATTCAGAGTCAAAGATCTTTCTAAGAATGCAGGTAACATCCAGCCCCTAATATCAACATCATTAAAAGGAGGAAACAGGGATGAGGAATATCTACACTTCACACACTTTGCCTCTCAGCTGGGGAGCACCTCAGTCTGGTCAGTTCACTCAGGTCCCCTCTGCCACCTTAACACAAGGTTTTGAGCCTACCTGCACTAAGATATGAAAATTGAAGCAAAGAATGTTCAGTGTTTCAGTGAATTACAGAGTCCTTTTATCAGTCAGGTCTTGCTGTCCCCGTGCCACTGTCAGTGCCTTTTCTTCCTTTACTTCTTAATGCAGAGCTTCTATTGAGATGAGCTGTAATTACTTAGGCAGCTGCCCCTATCCTGCTATGGCCTTCAGGCATCTTTCCTGGTTACCTCAGCTATCTCTTTTAGTTCCCACTGCTAAATTCCCTTTAGAAACTGTTTTCTCTAGCTGTCTTAAAATATAACTAACTTCTTTCATGCTCTAAATGCTCAAAAAACTACTGTTCTTGCCTCCAGCTTCCAACTTTATTTTCCCTTATACTTTTGTAACCTCTTGGGGAATTTTACTGGTTCCAAAAATCATGAATTTCAATTTACCATATTTTTAAGCTTTCTTTCAAATCCACTCACCTCACTAAAAAAAAGCTTGAGTATTACACTACGTTATCACTCACTTGTAAGAGAGAACTGAGGGAAGAATTAGTTGAACTGGAAGTCAGGCTCTTAATACGTGTCAAAAAAGCTCAAACTTTTCCTGTCTCTCAGCCTTAGACAAAAGGAGATTTAAAGAGGGCACAGAAAGCACCAGCCTGTTTTGTCTTGCATCTCTCTTTTTCGGGTCAGCTGTGCAGTCTCTGAAAACGTGTTCAGACCCTGAGAGAACACTCAAAACATGAAGAAGCCTCTATAAAAGTATTATTTTCCAGTGTTGGTATTCCCATAGTTTTCAAGTCAGTCAAATCTGAAGATATATGGAAAAATCCCAGCAGACCTCCAGTTTTCTACAGTTTAACCCTTGTTTAATTGAAAATATCTTCTGCAAAGGACAAATTAAAAAAAGTCTTAATAGAGTATATATGACATAATTTCTCCAAATTGACTGTTCTATTTTCACTCTAATTTGAAAAAGAAAATCTGATTAAATGTGGACTATTTCAGTCAAAACCATTAAAGAACACAAAAGTTACCAGCTAATTAAAAAAAAAAAAAGAATGTTAAGAACCTTTAATAAAAACCCAAAAAAACAATACTCTGTGACACAGTAAAAAGTGCACAAAAATACCAAGCCCTAGAACCTCATTTGCTCCCTTGGAGGTGTAGAAAAATAATGAAAAAAAAGTGTTCGGATTCAGTAAGATCTGGATGGTTTGGATGACTGGACCTGTAGGGGACAAAAGTACCATATAGGTATATGGAGAAATAATTATTCTTGAGCCAAAGAAAAAGTCTGTAGGATACTGGAAGAAATGGCTCACTTGTTCAGTGCAATGACAAAAATGGTATTTGGGGTGAATGGAGAAAAGAAAGTCTCCAAAATCAGCAAAAGTTATATGTTACATTTGGTTTTACTACCAAAGAATAATAAAAAAAACCAGTGCGGGTAAAGTTAATGCTGATCAGCCCTAACCTGAAATACTGTTTTCAGTGCCCATTGAAGATTAAAACAGTTATACCACAGGAGGAGTGCAGGAAAGGTTGGTATTTGGTCTAAAATAGTTTGACTTATTTGCTTGGTTGGGAGGAAGAAATAGGGAAATGGAAAGTTTCATGTAACATGGCAGATTAGAAAATTTGAAAGAGTGATATTTTATAGAAAATCATATTGTGCATGGTCATATGTATGCAGGAGAGATTGCAGCACTAAAATGTCAATAAAAGTTGTACATTTATATCAGAAAGAAAATAGTCCTTTTCTTCTTTTCTGTCTAGGTGGTTTTATTCTCAGACAATTTCAAAAAAATGAATTAGCTTTTAGGGCTTAAATAAATCATTTCCAAGCAGATATAGTTAAAAAAAAGGAACACAAAATCATCATAACTTAACATCTTCTTGGGTCAGTTTAATTGGCTATATATCAGGAACAAATCAGAGCTTCTCTGTAGCTGGATTGCTGGAAATCATCCAATCTCTGTTGAAGTCAATGGGATGATGCCTTTTACCATTTCCACTGCAGAATTGTCTCCCCTTCTTTCTGTGCTATGGTTGCTTATGATGCTGACATGCCACAGTACATGTACCATAATCTTCTGAGATGTGGCCAAGAGTCACTGTTTCTTGCTCACAGGATATGTGACATCCGGCTGCTTACACTTCCTGTGATCCCACCACATACACCCTTCGACCCTGATGAAATTCTCTTTGATTCAGCCATTTGTCTTCAGACTCACAAACCAATCCAGTGCAGAACGTAACTTTGTAAATTGATAAGGGGCTCCCAAAGAACTGTACCTCTTAATCATCTTCGTCAACAGGCCTTTAGATCTGTGGCTGCACTTTCTGAAGTGTGCTTGCTATTGCTTTGTCATTTATACTGAAATGCACAGGCTTACAGAAGCTGCTTTTTATTTATGAATCCTCATTCCTTGTGCTGGACACCTCAACATCATGCTGTGATTGCTTTCTTTTCATGGCAAATAAATCTAGACTCTGCCACTTGTTTACTCTTGTACTCTCTTTTTATAACTTGGTATACAGTTTTTAATTAGATCATTGCTAGCTAGTACTGTCATTTGGACAGCATAGCTTTGATATGACCTTGAGATAACCACTGCCAATTTATTGTGACCACCTTGTTTTGAACTATTTATCCACAGCTTCACAAATCATTCACTCAGTCTTTAATTAGTTCATATATATAATCATTCAAATGCATTCAAGTTAACTATATTTTACAGGTGGGTGATGGGATGATGTGGCTTCACCAGTCAGCCTTTTTCTCGTTACACCAGGCTCAGTAAATGACTGGCTGTGCACACATAAATATGAGACCAAATGATGCCAGTAACTGACACTCAGAAATACGTAGGTTTTATAGGAGCAGTAAAACTTCATTATGTGCCAAATATTATTTCTAGTTTTAGTCAGAGAAATGCTACTTTGTGAGACAAGTGGCTGTATGAGAGGGATGGCTGTAGAGACATACAAAAGCTTCACTCGTAGCAGACAAGTTTTTCAGGCATGACACAGGAAATAGGGTGAGTTGACTTGGGAATTTCTGCAGTGCAGTTGGTAGGTAATGTGCACCCTCTGGTTTGGACATCATGCCTCTATTTCTCCCTCAATCTCCAACCCCATGCACTTCCACAGCAGAATCCCAGGACGGAAAAAAGAGAGTAATGCTAACACATGAGGTTGTCTGGTAAGCCAGAAGTCTGAGCTTTCTCTTCACTTCCTGCAATTTCAAAAGGTCTGAGATTCCTCTATATAATAGAAGTTCAAGTGACCTTATTTCCACAGTTATTTAATTTACTTCTAATTGAATACGATTTTGCATGTGTGAGAATTGTGCAACTAATTATCTTCCTTGGATATGATTGACTTAATTTAGTTTCCCTGTCATGACAGAATTCTTTACTAGGAACACTGTACAACTAGAACTGTGGTTAGTTTTTCATCTTGATGGCAAAGGAAAAACTTCACAACCTTACGTTCTATCAAAATTAAACAAGAGTTTCTGTTGCCTTGCCAAATCAAAAAACCCTAAAGAAATATTTGAGGGGAAATTTTTATTTATGTCAGTAGCTATGAGTCACTCTCTTTTTTTTAATTTTAATGTAACTTTGTGCCTCATTCATCACTCATGTGATAAAGATATTAGTTTTCTATCAGGTTTTCATTCTGCTGGCATAACTCAAATGTTCTGGCTATATCTACACCAGTGAAAAGAGCTCATGTCCATTTTCTGACCCTGGGTTTAAAAGGTGCAGAGTTCTCCTATCACACAGATGACCTTTTTTTACCTGACAAAATAAGGGTCCACAAAGTCT